GACCCATTTCCCTGATTACAACTTACAAAAACACAAGAACTGCCCGGAAGCGAGGATTGGACCACGGCCCACATCCATCAGCGCGTGAACGAGTTTCTCTTGTTCTCTTGTTTTGCAGACTCCACGCTTTGTCTTCACCATGTGGCTCTCTACCCATCAGCGAAGGGGGAAGAGGTACTTGCATCAGCATCAATTCCACTCCCTCTTTTGTCACTAGGCTCTGCTCTCATAATAAAAAAGCCAGATGACACGAGGGGAACAACAGAGACATATCCTCTTTGCTAAGTTCAAGTGGACCCTCCACTGCTCTTCATATGAGATTTATCGGTTACTACTGATGTTATAAATAATGCCGCTCTAATGCAGAAACAGAAGTTCCTAATCTTACTGATTAGACAGAACCCTGACAGCCACGGCTTTTACAAAGAACGCAAATGTGTTTACACGGCGCCTCGCTGACAACATACTGCTTTGACAGGGTGTCGCATATGTCAGATTTGAGGATGTTTTGAAGGAAGAATTTTTATAATTCCCAACTTTTATTTTCCTCCTTATCTTGAAAAACAATGTAAACACATCCCTCTTGCTGCCAACCATTTCTTAAGCTCCTATTTCATGTTTGTTTGGTTTAGCGTCAGTTTAAGGGCAAACTGATTCTGCAATAAATTTTAATCTAAATAAGTCTTAAAATAAGTGCATTTTTTTCTTCAATCGAGGAGGCAATTTAGACACTTTGCCAGTGGAACAAGATTGTTTACTTTTAAAACGACTGCAGTGTCTTATTTCAATCACATAATATCTAATTATCAGATTTTAAGAGTAAAAATACTCTTTCCATTTGCAAATCATCTTATTTAGATACTCAAATTAAGGTCAAATATATTTAATTCAAGAATTTTTTACTTGTTTCTAGCTTGTTTTTGCAGTGTTAACGTTCTGTATAGCTTATCAGCCTCAAATGGTGATTTTCGTCACGTATAAAATACATTTCTAAAAGAATAGCCTATTTTTGTTGTAGACAAGCCTTTCTTCTGAACGACTGACGCAGCACGACACTGAGGATTATACGTGGAATATGTGTGCAACTGAGCTGCGAATAAGGAGTGCAGCTGTTAATGAGGTGTTACAGTGAATGCTTATTTTCTAATTTAATGCCTCAGTGGCTCCATCAAGTTTTCTACCGAGCTGGCTTGTATTAGCTTAATAAACAAACTGAACTGCCATTTAAAAATCAGATATGAGGGAGGCCAGTTCACTCGTGAGCTTGCATAGGGCAGCGTTCAATTTGTGTTTGTGTTTTCCAAACATATTCAGCTCACTCTGCTTTAGAGTCGTGTAGCTCAGAAGAGAAGGATGGGTTTGTTTTTTTTACAGCGCTCTGGGAAAACAGCCGTGATCTTTTTTGCTAATCACACATTATAAATCGAAATTATACTGCAATTTCTTGGTGGCATCTCTTTTAAGGAGCATTGATGTCAATCAGAAGAAGACAGGGGCAGAGCTAGGGGGTGGCTTGGGGTGACCATGGGTTGCAATTCCTCTCTAGACCAGTGGGTAGCAGCAGTGATTCTCTCAAGTGTAAAGTCCTACTTACTAATAACTAATGAATTATTTTACATTCTAATTATTAATCATCATTAACCATAAACTGAAAAAAGCAAAAACAACAAAGAAACCTAATACATTTAACAATCAAAATACTAATATTGAAGCTTAAAAAGTACAGATTTTTTTCTTTTAAAACTATTTTTTGGTTTCATGTGGAAGAAAGGAATGTATGCGTCTCTGCGGGTCATCTAGAGTTTTTTATGTATTTTTAAAAAAACAGATCAACCCATTTAATGGGTATTATTAATTAAATTTAACTGATATATATTATGATTAATTTAAACAGCATTAGAAAAGGCTTCATAAAAATGTTGTCTGTCCTGGGTGTTTTAGTAGGGAAATTTACTTGTGTGTCTCCATTTTCCTGCTGGTACTGTATATATAGACTCTTTAACTGGTTTTGTCTTCCATCAGTTTTCTTATTCATATATCAGTCCACTTCAGCATCATCAAGTCTTAAAAAAACAAAAAAAAACAGATGCACCTCTATAGAAGAATCTTTGGATATAATTGTTGTATTTGCAAAGAGCTCAGTGATCTGCTGTTATAGCTTTACTTCTGTTTAGTGGTTTTAGCCACTCTTCATGCTTTAAAAGACTTTTTTTTTGCCATGATAAACATTTTTTATCATGTGGGAGGCAGATGAATTGTATTGATGGGTCTGGATTTGCTTTGTAGGCCTTGAATTTGACACATAGGCTCTAGAGGAGCTCCAAAGATCTGTGGCTCTGGTAGTGAACCCATTAACAAATTGACTATTACCAAACCGCTTCAAAAATCTGATATTGTAGGAAGAATCTCTGGTCAGATGAGACCAAATTTGATCTTTTCAGGCTTAACCACAGAAAACTAACACCGCGCAGCGATGTGACCACACAATCCTCACCATGACACGCGGCTGTTGCAGCATCGTGCTGTGGCAACACTTTCAGCAGGGAAACACAAGCTGGTCAAAACAGATGGAAGGAAGGATGGAGCTGAAAACAGGGCAACCTTAGAACCTTAGGCTGCTAAATACTAGTGGCTGAGGCAGAGCATTGCCTTCAGCAGGGAAATACTGAACATACGGCTATAACTACAACAGAACGGTATAAATCTCAATGAGGCTCAAGTCAAGTCAGGACATATATTTAATAATTTTTTGAGTAGAATTTAAAAATTGTTGTTCTCAGATGTTCTGGGTCCAGTTAAATTAAGGTTTAGCTATTTTTACAGGACAAGTTGATGCAGACATCTCCGGATGTGGAAAGCATGTAGAGACCCACGCTAAAGGCCTGTTATAAGGGTTGAATACCAATTAGAGTTGTTCCTATTCTGAAACCAGAATCAGAAATGTCTCTGTTAGGATAATTGTCATTGATGATGTGTGAGTTTTGTCAGAACTGATGTTTTCCCCAATAGTTTATCTAATTATGACAGTTCCTCTGTCTGGATATACAGATACAATCTTAATTCTGTATGTGGCAAAAATTTGGGAATGAAATGAGAGCGGTGTCCTTCAGCTAAGAACAAAGTGTAATATTGTGATAAGGCTGGAGCCATGATGTCTACTCATCTGCTAACGTGTATGATGTGGCATACTAGAGATGTATAAAATGCTTCTTTAACTGTTAATCAGGGCCACTTCCAGAGAAGTGAGCCCGGTTGGTAAGCAGCTGCCTTCTGTAAACTCTAAAAAACTTCTCTGATCTGAGTAAAATTACAATTTCTATCAGAATCTGTTGTCATGTCTCCTGGTTATTTAATAAATATAAGTTATGAAGTGTTATTTAAAGACTTTGTCCCAAGTGATATCTTTTCAGGAAAAAGAACTGGAGAGAGAAAGCTTCAAGGTGTAGACACAGAGCCTATCTTTAACATCTCTAATAGTGCAGAAGAGAGTATCCGATGCCATGTAATTTAAAATAGGAACTAAAATAGGAATCTATATACTGGCTAGTTCTGGTAGTTCTCACATGGTTCTTCTTCGGCACTCTTAAAGTAATTGCCCTGTGCAGGCATAGTAGGATTTTATTTTTCCTTTTTCTGGTAACTCGATATCAACCGACCAGTTGCCTTCTGTATGCCTGCTTCTATCTCCTTGAACCCCAGTCGGCCTCGGTAGATGGCCGCACACACTGAGCCAGGTTCTGCTGGAGGTTTCTTCCTGTTAAACTGGAGTTTTTCCTCTCCACTGTCACTACAAGCATGTCTGTTTGTATTCTTGTGAGAGATTGCCTTAGAATCAATGAAATCAACTGTTTTTCCTTACATAGAACACTTTAAATAAATTTATTGTATGATCTAGTGAACTGTAAAGCGGCATGAGACGACATGTTGTGAATTGACGCTATAGAAATAAACTGAACTGAGTTAAAATTGATTTGATCGATTCTCGCAGCACAAGTATTGAGATTGTATCAAGAGAAAAAACTAATGGTATCGGAACATCTCTAATAATAATGCATGAAGCACTTTACAGATAAAAGAATAAAATGCATTTAGAAATCGTTGCCATTGTCTTTGTAAGGTTGCAGTAGTTTTTAAGCCTGATATAAAAAAATCTAATTGCAATTCAGTCAAATTGTTGAAAGTCGTAAAAGGTTTAAGGGGATTAAAACTTTTATAAGGCATCCTATGTGAACTACAGAGTCTTTGGCAACGTTCACACTGCAGTCTGAAGTGACCCAAATCCGATTTTTTTTGCCCATATGTGACCTGGATCTGATCTTTTCATGGTAGTCTGAACAACACAGATCTGATTTTTGCAAAGTGACCCAGGCCACTTGGCTATGTGGTCCTGAATCCGATACGAATCTGATCTTTTCAAATGCGACCTGTGTCTGAACGGCCAGGTCGCATTCCTCTGACCTGAATGCCATTAAAACCCAACAAAGGTCACTATTATGCCTCTTGCTACGCAGAAGGGGCAAGAAAAACAACAACCATGGCACATGATGATGTGGAGAGCAGTATTTATGTTTAACCATATTGAAAAGATTGTGTTTTTATGGTTGGAAAAGACCGCTAGATGCACGCCAGCGCTACCATCCATGTTTACTTCCGGGGAAAAAAGAGCACGCTGGCCTGTGACGTCACTCCGTCCTCTACTGCGCATGCAGGACACTTGTGTTGTATGACTGCAGTTCACACAGGAGATCACATACAAGTCGCATATATTTGGAAATGTGAACGGCAACGTAAAAAGAAATCGGATTTCACAAAAATAGGAGTTAGAGTGCCCATCATCTAAAAAATGAGCAAAGGATCTGGTTGGGGTGTATGGAGGTCTCAGTAGACTTAACGTGTTTGTGCAGATTTAGAGCAGAGATTCATTTCAACTTAAAGGGGAAAAAACTGCAGTAAAAACTGGTAAAAATAGAAACTTGCACTGCAAATTTAGCTGAACTTACCTGGCCATTGCTACTCCAACCACACATCCGCCGACAATAGACCAAAAACCTATCCAGCCTGCATCCACCTGTGAGAAAAAAAAATGAAAGGTGGGTTAAAAGCAAAGTTGAGACAGGGAGGACAGAGAAAGGCAGAGAGCAAGTGTTAAGTGTTTGAAACCTACTGAGACCTTTCAGTCACTATGTCTGCTAAATTGCCTCGTCTGACAGTATGCTGTGTGTACGTGTATGCTTGAAGAATTGTTGTCCTTCTTCTATTTAGAGGAATGGAAGCCAATCCTGGAACATTTGCTCAAAGTCAGGAGACAGGATGTTACGGCCAAGGGACTGTCGCAGAATCAATGGCGGGTAAAATGCTGCATGTGTAACAAACCTACACACAAACACACAACCAATCAGGGTGAGACACCCAGATGAAAACAAGCAAGTGCCAATGGCGCCGTTTAGTCTCCCTGGGGCTATAACTCACTTTTTACCAATTCCAACCAGATGGAGGATACACAGCAAGGGAACAGAGTCAAAACAAGGATCCTGGAGCTTTTTGCTTAATCATTCTCTGCACCCAAATGTCATCAAAGGCAACAATAAATAAAAATGGACAGCCAAAGTTATTAATTATAAAATGTATTTTGGCTTAGTGAGTGATGAATGCTAGAATGCTTTTATACCTGATATAAAGCACCTCCTTTGGTGTGTCCTTCTGGAGACCCAGAGTCCTGTGATACGGTAAAACTTTGACATAATCGTCAAGATTTATGATTCTAGAATTGCACTACTCAAGATGGCAGCATGTTTGAGTTGCTATATTAGCTTGATTCTCATTTTATTTTATTTTTTTTAGAGAATTTCAATTCCTCCATTTGTGGAGAAAGGTATCATTGTTCTGAAGTTTTTAGCTCTGATTTTGGATGCTGTGCAGCTGAAAGGATTTTTATTATTATCTTTCCAGTTTTGGATATTTGTAAGGATATGTAACCATGTCAAGTTATGTTTTTTTTTTGCACCCAGGAGCTGCTTATCTCAAAAGCTGAAATAAAACCTCAACTGCTACTGAAGGTCCCAGCTGAGTTGAAAACAAGGAGCCAATGATGCAGAGCAGGAGCAAGGACAATAGAAAGGAGGAGGAAATTTAAGACAGCTTTTCCATCAATCATTGTAGACTCTAGCAAGGACAAGTCTTCTCCAAAAGCCCGCCACTAATGACAACAACTACAGCTGCTTGAGGAAAATCTTAATTTTCTAATATATGATTTCTCTTTGGGATCTATAATTACCTAGATGTACTGAAGATCAGAACATGTGAATCATCATAAAACCATTCAGTTGCTTTTAATGACTACCTAGTATCATCAATGCAGGTTTGTGCAGCATTGTTGCCAAGCTTGTTAAATTTCACTAATTGAGGTAGCAAAGTATAAATAGGTCTCCGCGACATTTCATTTCCTAAATCCGAGTCAACGTGCACCATGTGCAGACATGGAGTTAATTAACCGCAGTACTGTTACTGCCTTGGAAACCTTAGAAAAGGCAGATTTGAAGCCTAATCATCTCTGCTATATTTAATGCGTGTAATACGCTGCAGACTGCCGGGACTATAAAAGGTAAACCCAATGGTTTTTATGTGATGTTTTCTTTTTATTTACTCTCCAAATAAGCCAATCAAAACAAAAATGTCAACGCTCAGCTTTATTCCTACACAACATTCTTTCTCTTAATAACTTCATGTAATCCTGAAAGCCTACAAGTCGTATTTAATAGTGAAACATGAGTCGAACAGCAAAGGAAGGTAGCTTATGCACTCTGGTGGAATTGAAGCTTGCCAAGACCTGAGGATATTGATTCATTGGGAAAACAAAAAAAAGAGGTAATTAAACTAAAAGATGCTCGAAACACTGGATCAGCATTCCAGGTATTGGAATTAGAAACGCACGTCCATTAAAGCAGTGAATGCAGATGACTAATGAGCACCTGTTTGGTGAAATATGTTCATTAGGATGATGGGAAGCTCTGTGCTCAATGGTTCTGTCTACAGGTTTCACAGATTTCCCCATACAGAGATCTTATATGCTTTCATACACTTTGAAAAGATTCTTCAGGATACTAGTCGCTTTAGTAAGTGAGCAATCACTGTCACTTTACACACCTTAAGAGGCAATAAGAGCAAAATGCATATGAAAGAACCACTTTGAAACTTTATTACTGTGTATTCATTACTTTGTTTACTTGAAAAAGAAAAAGGGTGGCTAATCTTGTCTTCTTAGTGGACATTTATTTACTTTTAGTAATATATTGCATACATCACATTTGTGCCACTATATTAAAAGTGAAATAAAATGACTAAACTGATTCGCAGGAATTCTGGAGAATGTTATTCTACTAGATAAAATCCCAATAATTACACTGGATGCTAAGTTAATCCAGGTAATAATTATAAAGCACTATTCTAACTTTTAACCCAAGATGGTCAGGTGATTAATTAGTATGGGAGAAGGAAAGCATCCTTTGAGATTCTGTAAGATGCCTTGCAGCAGCTGTTGAAAGCGGTGTGACTGTCTGGTGGCACAAAGCAGAGGTGGGAGAAGAAAACGTTTCAACCTCTGCTCTACTGTGTGCAATTTCCCCACAAGCAGCAGCCTGTCTGATAAGAACCGTGGAATAATGCTTGTTTTGACATGGGTTGAAAGCAGGGAACTACAAATCAGGCAGAGTATTTTTTTCATTTTCCCAGAAGCTTCACAACAAACAGTATCTACACCAATATGTCCGAATTCTGGCAAAGTCATAAAAGCATCATGGCTGCCCGACGGGTTAGAGAAATGTAAACAAATAGCCTGACAGGAAAACATTTCAGAAAAGGACAAATAAGTACTAAATCAGGGTTTACATAGGAACATGTAAATCTGATTTAATGCTTCTTAATGCTCTAAGTAATAATTTTAATGCCATCAACAAATACCCATGACTCTCATCAAAATCCTTCGTCATCTTTACCGTCAACAGGCTGCAATTCCTCGATTTCCAGCCACTTTTGTTTAAATTTGCATTTTTCCCCCTTCTCTAGCTTTTTCTCCGCCTCGAGCTTCTTTTCCAAACATACGGCTTTACGATCAACCGGAAGCAGTTCCGCACAAATATATCGCGATATCATATATCTGACGAAATTGTTTTTAGAAACTTTTTTTTAAATAAATCATTTTAAATGCCACAATAATCACATTTAATGAATTTTAATGCCAAATATTTAATGACTTTAAAGGATTTTTAATAACTGGTGGAAACCCTGTAAACGAACCACAGAGCACTCTAACAGTTCAAAAGGACAAATAAAAGAAAGTCAGCTCAAACTAAATGTTTCAGTGCCTAAACCCGGAAGGTCTGAGTAATTTGAATATCTAGATGTTACCTGGCTGACGTTGGCTGGTGTAAGAACCATGTCCAGGACCCCAGACCAGCCAGCGATCACTCCTGTAGGGACTGCATATGCCAATGCAATCATCAGGAACCGGAAGTTGCTAAAAGTTAGAAAAGAAACAATTAAAACATGAACATAAACCACTCGGAATTCATATTTCTATTTCCTAGCATGTTTTAAAAAAATTTAAAAAGTGTCATCCTAGAATCTTTAGATAAAACTTGTTGGATTGATTGGATGGTTGTCTTCGTTAAATGTCTTCTTTCTGCACGAATCCCAGCTGATGACAGAGTTCTGCAGCATTAGGTGCCTAACAGCTTAGGTATGCCGACCATGTACCCACTTAACCTTCCTCTTTAGAGTGTGCGGCACCTCTCCGCTCATATGACACCCCAATACAAACACTTGGAAAACAAGAATCTAATCTAATCACCTTAACCCAGTGAGGTGGCAAACTAATCTAAAAATCAGAGCCACCTACTCAGCCCAAACAATCAGATTAGAGACACTAAGCAGTTGACAAATGAGGCGAGTCTGGCAGAGCAGGCAGCGGATTCTAAGGTAGTTTTCTGTTTTGCTCAAGTCATTTTTCTTATACAAATTCACCGGTATTTATTGAACTTTGCTTTGCTGGAGGAAGACTCTGTCGCTTAAATGTCGAAAAAACAGAACGATTTTGAACCTCCTAAAAACCCCTGACATGCATGTTAAATGCAAATTTCTGGAAAAATGTGCATACCTTTTACCTTTGGCAAACAGTGGTGGACCTCACTTTAAATCATGAATGACTCTATAGAAAACTCCACGTCTCTCCCTGCTGCAGATTGCACAACCCGTCCTCAGTAACACTAGACTCCTTGGCCTTGATAGCAGCATGGAGGGACAATCATAAAAGCCTTCTGATGGAGAGCGCTATGGAGTTTTTTTTTTGGTTTTTTTCCCTGAGCACCCTTTTCATTAACCTTGCCACAACAGTGAAAAAATCAATACCCAAGCAGCTTTATCTTTAAACATGACCTTATATAGACATCCCCTTCAAAGCAAAAAACATGCTAGGTATGCTTTCACTTTTCAGTTTTCAGGAGTGATGAAATGTCCCTAAAGAAGTCTCAAAGCTGATGGTGTCATCAGCTAAGTGCCATTCGTCCTTGGCCCACCAGGTTGGAGACAAATGCATCAAGATGACAACTTTCAAAGCTAAAGGGAGTCTGACCGGAAAGTACGGAGGATCAATACTCACGCTTTTGGTCTTTGAAGTCTGATCTCCCGAGGGGGGGAGGGAGGAAGAGAGGGGGATAACAATGAAAATTGTACAAAATGCGAGGAAACATCCAGGGTTCTAATTAGGCGGCTGCTGTGGAAGCAGATGTGAGCAACTGGAAGCTCTCATCAAGCTGAAGATCATTAGCGTGTGCCTTAGATCCTGACAGGCTAAATGGATGAGCAGATACATCACTGGGAAGGTGTCAGGAATACTAAGTGATCTGCTGCTCGGCACCTGCCTTCAAACTTATCCTGTGCAGTTCTGCATTTTCCAATTTCCATTTTTTTTAAAGTGAATTCTGCAAGCTCCAGCTGTTTTCACTTCTACATTCATGATTGACCAAGTACATTTTCATCTTGACTCGATGGTTGTTCATGTATAACTGATGTGCTTAGTGAGCAGCTGGAAATAGATCTAGTGCCTTGCAAATGCAATCATCTACCTTAAATCTTTGCCTGATCTGACACATTAAATTCCCTACCTAAAGACAGCTTCTGATCATTTAAGCTGTTACGAAAAAGTGACAAAAACAGGATGTCTGGGAATCTCTGCTGAGACTGGATGGATGGATGGATGGATGGATGGATGGATGGATGGATGGATGGATGGATGGATGGATGGATGGATGGATGGATGGATGGATCAATTCTTCACTCAGACATCAACTCAAGCCCTGTTTGCCACTACTGAACACGACAGTGGATGCATCATGCTGCGGGGATGTTTCTCTTCAGCAAGGACAGGGAAAATGCAATCCTGAAGGAAACTCTTTTAAAGGTGGTAAAGACTAATCAGGTAGAGACTCAACTTTCAGGGGGATAAAGGCCTAAACAGACCCCTAGATCTACGGTAAGGTGGTGTTAGGATTCATGTGTTAGGATGGCCCAGTTAAAGTCCAGACCAACAAATCTAACTGAAAATCTGTGCCATCTTCAGCTACACAAGTACAGGAAAAAGTTTCCTAAGCTAGCTGTGACATCACCCTGAAACATTGTAGGTTTAGCTCCAGTAAAATGTTGCCAAATACAGATTAAAAAACAGTTTTTACTATTATATTAGTGAAAATAAATACAAAACAAAAACAAAATTCGATGTGCTCTGGAATCGTCAATTTGTTTAGGATTATTGGGTAGGCATTCATTAACATGTAAAAAATGTGTTTTCACCTGTACCCCCTTTCTTTGTTGAAACTGTGTCTCGGTAACAAAGTACTAGATATGGAGATTCATTGCTTTACATTTTATTAACAGCAGGAAAAAAAACAATGAAGACTGGATCACGTACAAAAAAATCCGTATAATGGAAAAATTGTCTCGATTAAAATTGCACTTGGACTCCTTTCATAGGATTAGATCAAATGGATAGAATATATCAAACCTATAAGATCTGATTTTATATCAAACTGCTTTTTAAACAAGGATGATTGCTGAAGACGTTGATGCTTTGTCATAAAAGGCAGCCCCAACTGTATGTGTTTAGCTCTATTGTGTGAAAACTGATGAACAAAACCGCATGAAATGTTTTCCTCTCATAGTTTCCTGTGCTTCATCAATTACATAAAGTACAGAAAAAGACAAACAAAATACAACTCATAACTATTATTTCCTCTTGAAATTCATGCTTTTTATTTGTTGGTAAATAAAATATCCCAAAGACATGAATGAATGTTTGTGACTGCAATGTGAAAAGTAGTGGGAATATTTTTTTAACAAGGGATGGAGAAAACGATTGAATGATTAATCTACGTCTGTCACTTAGTTGTACAGTTTATGGATGATTGATAGAGCTGCTTTTTTTTTTTAAACAACAAAAACTAGAGCAGACAATGTGTCGTCATTGCAAATGTACAATTAAATTTCCTAAATAGGTTTTAATTTCATTTTATTTCCCTTTGGGATAAATCAAGTAAATCGCAATGATTCCATAGACCAGAGGTCACGGATTAGCACACCGTGGTCTGGATCCGGACCCACCTGCTGGCTAATCCGGACCAAACCTGATTTAAAACATTTATAAATTACCACATGCTGTCTGATGACAGTGTCTAATTTCACTTGCACCGCTTCTTCTGTTAATATGGCAAAGCACTCCAGAGCATCCGGGACCAGGCTACACCTGATACAAATTAGCCAATGAGCTGCGTTAGTCTGGGTTGCTGCTGCAAGTTACGTTTAGACACAGCAGGCAAACCTGCGGCAAGCCGAGCAGTGGGAAAGAAGAAGAAGACGATGAGAAAAAGTGAAAGAAAGTGTGGACTGCTGGAAGAACTGCAGTGAACTGATGACAGTAAAATGAAATGGCATGCTCAAAGATGAACCTGCACATTTTGAGTATGTTTGGCTCAACCTGCTGCTGTGAAGCAGGATTCTCCACCATGAACAGATTAAAAAATAAATATGGATCCGGGCTCAAAATGAGCACCTAATATGAGCTTTATAATGGCTTTGTCTCCATTTAAACCCAGGTTTAAAGCCTTGCAGGCCATAAAAAATAAAGAAAAAACAAAACAAACAGCCAGATCAAGTGGTTTATAAAATGTGTGAATCAGAAAATTATCTATATACTAAACTGAAAGATTTTTGTTCTCTACTTAAAAAAAACACTTTAGATTTTTTTTAAATGTTCAATTTTTTTATTATTTAAAAAGTCAATGTATAATATGGATGCATAAACACCTAGTTTTATTTCAGTGTTAAATTCTGTTTAAAGTAACAGATTATAATAAAAAATGTCTCCGGACCTTTACTGGTTGTTGATTTTCTTTATTCGGACCCGCTGATTTTTAATTGGTTACCCCTGCCATAGATTTTATTTGAAGTAATTTTTCCCCCGATCTCTGTCTAGTTGCTTCAAGTCTGTCAGTGACTGGCTGCCCCCAGCAGAAGCTCTCTCAGCTGGATGGACTAAAACTTCAGGAAAATGTGTACGGATCTGTCCAGAACCTTGATATCTGTTGGGGTCTCCATCATCTATCAACAGGAACTCCTACAGGAGCTGAGTTTCTCTGAACTGGTCACAAGCCTCTGAAAATCTAAGCACCACAGCGGAGTGATTTCTTACTCAAGGGGGGACAAACACAGCCAAAAAAAAAGTTAATTCAACTCCCTGACTGCTACTGCCCAGTTTTTCTTCTTCCTTCTCCAGCCTTTATTCCCTGGCCACAGCTGCAGGCATCATTCCTTAACAAGCCAGGCACCAGTTCCCAGACAGTGCTGCTTCCTGGTCGCCTAGGGGATAAAAATCACCCTTGATGGAGAGTGTGATGGTGTGAAGAGATGTGGAGGGGGGGATGCACGAGATTATAATAGAGTGAGATTCAATTTTACCTCCTCTTCTAGTCTCTTGTGGGTGGAAATACACAACAAATAGATGCCACCAACATCCAGGACCTTGTCTAAATAGACCATCTCTCTCTGTGAGACAATTCTTCTGGGAATATGTTTATACAACAAACCAAATACTTTATCATGATTTAGTCGGGAATCTAGAGGGAAAGCAGGGAGATACTTTACTAACAACCAAAGCAGCGTTTGAGTGGCGGACAATCTAATGCTCCTCATCTGTTGCTGGATTGAATCATTTAACTCTCCAAGCCAAGCAGAGCCTCCAGCATTATTAAATGTGATGCAGAGAGAGCTGAGGCCACACACATCTGTGGAAATGGACTTCAGTCACGGATAAGGGTTAGGAGGGCTAAATGAAGCAGATGAAGGATACTTTTAGCTAAAAAAAAGGGTGTCTGTAGGTCTGTGTTTGCTGTTTGAGCATCAGCGGTTTTACCTGAGGAGTCTGCAGATGCTGCTCCTGTAACTGAGTCTCTGGCTTGCCGCGGCCACGCTGGGGGGCATTGGCGGGCGCGATGGGAAGTAGATCAGGACGGTCGCAAAAAGCGCCGCGATGACTGCCAGTTCTGCCACAGCACAGAGATGCAGGAAGTTATTTTCACAGTTTCAGTAAAACATTGCCCGATGTGACATTTTGAAAGAAAAAAAAATTTGAAAAACAGGTCAACATGACTTCTTAGAGTCCTCTGAAGACTCTTTGCGATGATGAATTTGTGGCCTGGAAGACATGACAGTAAAATGAATGTGTCTGAGGAAAATCATCCAATCTGACTCCGGTTGACACTGCAGCTGGCTGCTCTTGGAGGAGTAATACATTTTACACATATGGGATTAAGAAAGAAAGAATGATGCATTGTTTTTATGTCACTTTAACACAAGGCTAAAATGGAGCAGTGGAGTGCAGAAGTTTTCCCACACTTTGAACCGCTTCCCATTTTTCCACATTAAAATTCCACAAACCTCAAAATATTTTCCTTTTATGTTGTAGACCAACATAATAGGGCATACACTGTGATTATAAAAGGGAAGAAGACAATTTATTTTTCTTACAAATAGAAAACAGAAAAGAATGTTACCAATTCACATGTAGTCCTGTTTGATTTAATAAGCCTGAGTAAAATCTAGCCTTGCTGGCACCACTCAGTTCAAACACTAAGTCGTTTAACTAAGATTTTATTGGGGTGGGTTCACAAATCTTTAAACGTAATTCATGTGATGAAAAACATAAACCACCTAGAAGCGGCTGGATGATATGGCCAAACCTTCTACTGTGTTATGTTTCTTAAACTCAGCCAAACTGATTTAATTACCATATCAATGTCAACAAAATAAAAGCCTCTGAACCCTAGTCGGCCTCAGCAGATGGCCATTCACACCGAGTCTGGTTCTGCTGGAGGTTTCTTCCTGTTAACAGGGAGTTTTTCCTCTCCACTGTCGCTACAAGCATGTTTGGTGTGAGGGATTGTATTCAAGTCAATGAGTCGATGCAATCAACTGGTTTTCTTTAGATAGAAAACTTTGAATCAATTTGACTGGATGATCTGGTGAACTGTAAAGTGCCTGGAGATGACGTGTTGTGAATTGTCGCTATAGAAATAAACTGAATTGAATTGAATTGAAAGACTGAGAAGGATCATCGCAACAAATCATGTACAAACTTATGGCTAACTTTAACTAGTTACTTATTAAGTTCATAAAACTCCTTTAATATAAAATTTTAGAAATATTTTCTTAAATAAATCATATATTTACTGAAATATTAGTCATATCACTGTTAAATAAAATAAGTAAAATGTAACAAATTATATTACAGTACCTACTGTTACAGCTCTACCATATTTAGAAATAAATACATAAATAAATGCTCAATTAATAAGCATATAATTAATCGTCCCCCAAAACACAATAAACAAATAAATGTAGGCAGAAATTAAATTATATAGTGAGACATAAATGTATATATCTCTTTTAATTAGCTTCTTTATTTATTCACCTTTGTAATCTTCAACTTTATTTATTGATTACTTATTTTTTTAAGGTATTCATTTATGTGCATTTTATAATGTTTTTGTCTATTTTATTCTTCCTTTGTATTTTTTTACCCTATTTTTATGAAAATAAAATACCACTGAGGTTGTCGAAACCAGCGCCGCAGAAAGAGAGTTACGACACTCCCAGCGACTTCTATACAAAGAATGAAATGCAGAGGTCACGTGGGTCATGGAGCTGCAGATCGTTCGAGGATTAATTGCAGTCCATTCTCCACGTTTCAGTCTTTTCTCCGGTAAGTTGATGAAATGACAACATTTTTTGGCACTGTGCTGCTGTGACTGACTACTCTGTATTAAAATAGGCAAGCATAGATATTTCACATTGCCAGTTTTAATAAATTGACCTCTTTTACAAGAGACCTGGCAAAGGTAGCAGCCAAATCACAAGAAATGCATACATAGTAAACACCAAGTTACACTTTCAAGATAAAAAAAATAAGCAGTTTTCATGTGGTTGCAACTTGTGGCATATTTAAAAGCATCTGCTGTGGGGAGCATAGTGGATCGGTACCAGACCAAAGAGAGAAGGTGTCTTCCAAGTCATTTAAAACGTCCATATAATGATATGTATTTTTAGGGGGTTACCAGTCTCTTGCATTGCTATTTTTGACACAGGTTGATATGTTTGAGATGCGCTACTGTATTTGTGAGGTTTGAACTTTTTCATTCAAAATATGTCAAAGGATTCCTCATATTATAGGAAAGCAAAGATGGCGGCGTCTCAAAGCAGCGGCCAAGAACTGCTTTCCACAATGTCACCGATTCTGCTGTTCAAAACGCTACAACCCAGGCATTGAACCCGCAAAAGCGCTGAATGTTGCAAACTGTGTATCACATACCAGTCTTATGTTCACATTTTATCACTGCTTGAAACTTTAAAAACAGAATTGTCTTGAGAGCTGTACTGAATGAAATTTCTTTTTGTATACACTGTGTGAGCAAAATGACAATATAGTCTAAGTCTAAGTCATATATATATATAGATCCTAAAAGTTTGTAAAGTCTAAACAGCAAAAATGTTAGAACCTGTGGATAAAATACAACATAATTAGCAAAGACCATGAGTAAGGCTTTTATTTTGATAAGTCAGAGGTGTCTAGAGAAAAAGATGTTATAAGAAAGTTTGTGTTTTGTTGGTTTTGGAACAACCTGCTGCTGTTAAATACACCGTTCAGCTGGAGAGACTTCTGACTTATTTAGCTCTACAGCAGACTGCTGTAAATCATTAATGGCCGACAGTGCTTGAGTGTCACCGGCTAATAAATCAGGACCCACCTTCACAACGCTGCAGCTCACACACTGCCTTGTTTTCACACCTGATCACACTGTTAATAAGACCCGAGTGTTTTAGCCTCATGTATTTAAAGCAAAAATCAACTAGTTCGTTTTTGTAGAATAAGTATGAAATGATTTTGCTTCTGAAATCCAAATTATAATTTCTTGCTCAGGGTGATAAACTGTGATTTTTTCCCACATCAGGATTTTTTCATGTCTGTCATGCATTTCTTATTGCCCTCATTAACATAACTTTTTCTCGGCACGCTGTGCTCCTTAAATAGCTTAAGAAAAACTGCAAACTCCTTGATCCTTTTCACTCTTCCATAGAGACCAGATTTGTGGAGGGACCTGTTCTGTTTTCTCACCCGATCTGTGGCTCTTTGTTAGAAGAATCGTTTTCTCCTACTCATGATGTCCAGTTGATAAGTACGCCTGCCCTTTCCTTCAGAAATTATTAATACCAGCTTGGATTTAACAAAGCCAGTGCTTCAGTCCATCACAGCATTCTTGTTTCCCTTTTCATCACACTTTTAATTTTCTGAATCAGTTAAGCATAACAGTTGGAGCAAACTAATTTACAGAGGCCCAGTTATGAGGATTATAGCAGGAGCTCTTGACGTTTGTCTAAGACTCTTGAAAACCCTGTTGCCTGATTGTATTTACGTCCCCCGACAGCTCTGACACCATGTCGAAATAATGCGCCATCGATCCTGAGTGTGCCTTCATGAGTTCCCTCCCCTCTGTATATACCTGCATACAGCACCATCTGTATCCTGCTTCGGATGAATGTGAAGGACAGCGGCGCTGCAGTCGTGGTGCTCGTCTGGGAGTCGTTGGGAGCAGGAACGATGAGAGGTCCCACGATGAAGGAAGCGGCGCCTCCTAGGTAGGAGAATAGCGAGGCCACGGCGGTGGCCGTTGCTCTCTGATCGGGGGCGAACCATGTGGTGGAGAGGAAGGGTCCGGCACTCATTATAGTCGGCCCAGCCAAACCGTTTAGAAACTGGCCTCCATGTATTAACCTGGAACATAGAAGGTGTGCTAGTTTAAAAAAAAAAAAGAATAATCAGCATAAATAACAGTAAAAGCAAAACTCTCTGCACCCACAGACAGAAGCTAGAGTAAAACAGCTTATATGGTCATAATTTTGCACTGAGTGGAAAGGTAAGGCTGCATGAAATCAGGAAAACATGTAATTACTCTACTTTTGATGAATGTTGCAATGATGAAAAAACTTTTTTTTCCCACGTGTACTTTAGCAGCTTAGCCAGCAAAAACATACATTCACTGAAGGTGGCGACAGTCCGTTCAACATGCCAAATTCATTACTGCCAAGAAGTTTGTAAAGCAAAACCAAACACTGCATTCTAGCAGTCCTCATACATCCAGTAAAAAAAAAAAATATTCCAACCCTTAGTTTGAAAAGATATATTAAAAATGTTTAAAATCATAAGTCCTGCCTTTAATTTTCCCCAGAACTAAACAACCTCTCCACAGATGCATGGCTCAACACAGCAAGACTCGGCTGTCCACCCACACCTTATGGACAAAGGACATTCGGACTAGAGACTGACACGGGAGTGGATTTTCACTCCTGTCCCGTCCCACTCCCACAGAAAAAAATTGTGTCCCGTCCCGATCCCGGGCCAGAGTAGAAATCTAAATCCTGTCCCTTCCCACTCCTGGTGAAATTACTCCCACTCCCATCCCACTCCCATTCAGAATGACTCCCGCTCCTGCACCACTCCCATTCTTGTTGTTTTTGAGCGCGGGTGAAAAACTCAGAGCGGAAGCACTGTTGGTTTTTGGGTCATGTAGTTTTTTTGACTCGCATTATAGTGTAGGCTTCAAGGAAAAAAAACTACAAAATCGCGGCGCCAGTACTGGATTTCTTTTCTTTCTATTTTATTTTTTGTTTTTTTGGCATCGATCCTAGTTTTTTTTTTTAGGTTTTTTTGGTTTGCATCCGCTCCCGTCTGCTCCCGTTAATGTTTAATCCTGTACCGTCCCAATCACGTGATCGTTACTAATACTGACTCCCATCCCACGGCAATCCCGTGACCCATGGGATTCCCGAAAAAATGTCAGTCTCTAATTCGGACAAAGGACCAGAATGTTCACATTGCGGACAAAGAAGACAGGTGGTTTGAAAGGGGTGTGAAAAAAGCCATTTATGTTGAGTGAAAAACCAACCTTAAACAGAGGGGGACTCAGGATTTAGCTCTCAAAAACCTACAATTCAGAGATAAGAGTCGATTCCTTCCAGCTATCATCTCGCCTGGTCAGCCAGACCAACAACACCCCTGACAACCCCCTTCTTCAGAAGCATAGACCAGTAAACAAGACTTTGTTTTTGGTCTACTCTATAAAGCTTAGAACTCAACACTAAATCTGACATTTGACTCTCTTATGCTTCTTTTTCTACAGCCATTTTATTTATTAATTTATTCAAAATCTTTATGTATTGAGAAAAAAAACTCCCTCTGAACCTAGCAAAGAATAAAGAGAATCAACCCTACATGGAGGGCTGTGTGGAGCGAGGGAGTGTTGTAGGGATGACATCTGGTTTGTGTGAATAACAACATTTACAGAACTTTGGAATCTTGAACGGTAAGAAAGTGAGAATAGTAGTTGAAATCTGTGCCTTTTGCACATAAAGAACCAGGCTGTCTAATAATAAATACATTTAATTTATACTTCACTTTCCATCAAAAGATGAAAAACTCTCTGTTAATCTTTAGCATTATTATTT